ACACATTTACCAGCCAACTCCACCCATTTTAAAGTATGTAAGTGGTAATTTTGAGTGTTAATTCCAGAAACATTCATTAGAGACGCACAAATAATCAAGAAAAAAACATGTGAATTTCTTCTTGTCGCAAAATCCAACACAACTTTGGTTTGAAAATGACTCACTAAATCCGCAGCGAACAAAAAGTCATTTTCATGTGTCATACAATCATTAATATAGGATTTGGACTGTGAAAATGTTTTTTCTATTGCATTCAATTGTGGACTATATGGAACACTATAAGTTACATATATTCCATTTTCTCTGCATGTATCATTTACATTCTTGTTATGAATACCAGCATTATCTAAAATCAATGATACAAAAAAGATTTTGAACCATTTTTTAATTTGCGGAATGAATAATTCTTTTAGACAATTGACAAAATCTTCATTTTTTGTTAGTCGTGTCTTTTAATCGAAAAACCAATCTTTTTCCTGGTGCCATTAACACAATTGCTGTGAAAGATAAACCCTTTATGATTGGAAAAACAACATCACAACATTCTCCTTCAATAGCTCTTCCTTGTGTTCTTGATTGATTTGTATTATATCCAACTTCATCAACATAAACAAAATAAAAATAAAGTGAAATCAAAATATTAAAATGTTGCCAATACACATATCTTTGAGCTATTCTCAAATTTGAATTTCTATCTTTGGGTTCTTTTTTTATCTGTTTTGTTGTAAAACCACTTTTCTTTAAAATTTCATGAACCGCACTTTTAGATATTTTTGTATCCCGAATCATTTTTTCAGAGTCAAACTCCATCAAATTGCATATAGAAACAACTCTTTGTTTTCTTATATCGCTTACTTCTTCAGCTATTTGAACCAGAGTCTTTTGTGGATCATTGCGAGTTATTCGAAGAATGTCTTCAATCGTTTGGAGATCAATCTTTGAATTGCCACATTTTGGACCTCTTTTACGACCTCTTTCTCCACCCACTGGCCTATTTGCAATTAAAAGCGCTTTTTGTTTTGATACTTGAAATTCGTTTGATGTTCTTTGGGGGTCTTTCCAAATTTCAAAATGTCTTTTAATTGAAATGTTTTTACACCACATTTCATAACTTTTAGGATTATCAGGTAAATAAAAAGGTTGTTGTGTTTTTGTTGGAGTTGAGGAAATAATTTGTAACGGTCCAATTGGACCCCTTTCAATTGTTTCGAAACGTTGAAAAGTGTTGCTTTTTTTAAAATCTGAGAATATTGTGTTTTTCTTTTGAAATTGGTGAAAAATGTTGTTACTTCACTTTAATCCATCAATATCAACAACTACCCCGGGTTCTTGGAATCAAAATATGTTTTTGTATTTGTTTAAATAAGTATTATTTTCTTCATTAACAGGAGTTTCAATAATCGTATTAAATAGAAAGGTGAAATAAAGTCATTCTTTGTTTTTTCATTAAATAATTGTTCATCTCTTTTGTATAATGGTTGTGACTCGTTGAATTTTTCGTTCATTTTAAAAAATAAGGATGATTTTTCATGTAGAGTTAAACAAAAAATGAGTTGATTAGAATTGTAGTTAGGTTTTATACATTGCAATATAATTGAATCCATTTTTATTATATGCACTGTTTTCTACACACTTTGAAACCAAAAATTAAAAAAGTGGTTTTATATATTTATTAATTATAATTTAAACCATTAGTATAAAATGATATAAATTTTTGTTTAAAAAATCGGGGAAATTACCCTGTCCAAATAACACAAATTGCATCACCAGCTTTAATGTGATTGGTTAAATTTTAATTAATGGACTAGATGCTTAATTGCATCATGACGTGGCAGCGACTTGTATTCATTGGGAAATCGCCTGTCTATAAGTTATTTTGTTACCACAAATTCGGGGATATCACCCCAATATTTTTAATACAAGGCTGGTTATTTTACTAAATAATAAAAAACACAAATATAACAAAAAAATACAATTAAAAAACATTAAAATTGTGTGTAAATTTAAACTTTATTTTTAATTTACAAAATTGTACATTGAAACAATTCCAATTAAAAAACTAATTTTGGCTTATCGATAATTAATGGAAAAGGTATAAATTAATATAAATTATTCGATATAAAAATAGCCGATAGTTGGAAACAAACGAGTTTTAAATGAAAGAACAAATATTGATTTGTTATTTAGAGCGATTAATAAATAATATAATTTAATGGTTTTTAATTCATATTTTTAATTTGTTTTGTTATGCTAAAAATAAATTGGTGATTTAACTTTGTCGTAACGATGAAAACTATTTATTAAAAAATAAAATAAAAATCCATTAATATAATAAATGTAATTATTAATTTACTAAATTAAAGTGGAATAATAAAATCATAAAACAAACGAATAAATAAATAAACTTATTATATCAATACTTTTTATTCATTATTTCATACAAAAATTAATAATTCAAAACATGAAATATCTCAAACAAATTATCAACAACAACCAAAAAGCGAAAAAAAATAAAACGCATAACATTACTCTCTCACTTTTTATTTTCATATTTTCATTTATTCAATAATATAAATATTATAAAGAAATAATAACCAACAAACAACACCAAAAATTATTTGTTTTTTCTTTTTCTCAATTTTTATAATGTTCTAGATACTCAGAAAACAATTTCAATCTTTCACACAAAAAGGAGTGGTTGCAGGGAATAAAAGGAATGTTATTAATTGTCTTTTTTGTTACATATTGTTGAAATTTGGGCTTTGTACTAATCTGAATTGTTGTTTATTTTATTGATAATTATTCTGTTGATATCAACACTGTTTATGGCACAAATATATTTACAAAAATTAGTTACTTTATTATATTATCTGATTCTATAACCTATTTTAATTAAATAAATAAATATTTTAATTTAAAACAAAACCAAATTTTAAATAAATAGTAATTTTATTTTATTAATTGTGTTTTTTGTTTGATTATTGTAAAAAACATTTTTGAATACTTGTTGTGTTGAATAACGCTTAAGAAGGTAACATTGAATATACTCATAATCGAAAAAATCAAGAATACAAGAGCTCGATTCATGTATAAAAGTGTTTTTGGCGTCTTTTTGTGCTTTAAATGTCGAATTTTTGATAATAATTATTAAATGATGTTTATATTATAATATGAATATTGTTATTAGTTTATTTTTAACATATAGATTCAATTTTTGTAATAATTTGGATCAATTTCAATAATTCAAACATGACAGGCATGGTAAAATGTTTATCTCTATATTACACAATTTACTTAAAATGAACAAAAGTTGTTTTAACACCGAGTCAAATTTCTCCTCTCTACAATAATTATTTTGTTTTTATGACGTTCATTTTACAAAATTATATTACAAAAATATACACCACGTGAAGTGTGTATCAAGTCATCAATATGATTTTATAAAACACGTTTGAATATCGAAGAAATGGTTACTGTTTTTTATTTTACTAAAAAAACACGAGTCGTTTTTCTCCTCTCCAAATAAATTTTTATTAAAAATTCTGTATTTTTTACCCGTCACGCCTCTCCGCGACCAGAAAAAAAGAAAAAATTTCGCATTTTGTATTTTTGAAAACAAAAAACAACGAAAATCCATTCCAAAATGTCTTTAGTCTGATTGGGTAAAAAATGAAAATAAAAATAACTCGAGTCTTAAATTCTCGAAACTGTTCCAAAAAGTGTGCAAAAAAGAAAGTGAACCAGGGTTTTTAAAACAAACAAAATAACAAAAAATAAATGAATTATGTTTTACATTTGGTTCGAATGGAAGTTCTACCAAAATCGACAAGGGATTGATCATTTACAACCAGTTTATCACACCCCTATAAGCCAGACTATTCGATTTGGGAGGAAAACAGCGATGCATGGACTTCCTTAAGTGTCCCACCGCAGTACAATGGATTCACACAAATTCAAGGCCATTACATATTGTTGGCGGCTGCTATGGAAGAGAAGTATTATAAAGATACTAAAAGAGCCGAATTACAGAGATAGAGACACAAAACCTATCAACTTCATTTGAGAAATTGTTCTGGAATAAAGAGAAAGGAAACTTCGTCCAAGCCATTTGGCAGGACAACAAAAAGCAGAAAGTGATCATGACACATCGACTGCAACTGTGATGTTCAGTGACATTGTAACTGATCAAATAAAGATAAAAAAACACTTTGATAACATCAGAAAGTTCAACACCAAACTTGAACACGGCTTTGCAAGATATCCACAAGACTCATACTTCTTTTCTTCAAAGTGGAATATTAGAGGAAAAAAATGTAAAGCAAACCTACTATGGGAAGAAGCTGTAGACTAAATCACTGGCGCTAATTATGTCGTCAATGCCTGATATATACGAACAATCACATTACTCGAATGTTAAATATTTTTAAATATAAACAATCCTTATTTGGATTGTTTATATTTTGAATTATTGTGCAAATTATGTGCTTGGGTAAACAACTTGGCATATTTGACTATTTATCGGGTTTTATGGAAAAAATTTCGTTTTTTAGTGTATATTATTCGACTGTTGGAATAAAAATAATTTAATTGGTTTTTTTAATTTGAAATTTACAATTATTGAGTTCAATTGAGTTGTTTTTCAAAAATTATTTTTAAAACAAATAGAAAATCGCAAAATTTCATTTGGAATTATTCCAGCGACCATCCGCGGGTTATATAATATTTATATTATTAAATAATAACTTTAATTTGTTTTGTTAAAATTATAAAATAATGATAAAATAAATATTTTATTGTGTTTGTGTCAGTTTATAACGTGGACAGTCTTTAATCACTTCAGACAAGACACTTGGTTTATTTGTGATTTTATTTAACTTTTTACATGCTTGTAAATGAGCTTTTTAAACGTCTTCACAAAGAACATTTTTAAGGTCATCACATGATTTTACAACAAGACTTTTGACACCCTTTTCACACACAATAGTTTCACATTAGCCCAACTAATTTTTTTCTTTTTCCTTTTTTGCAGTGTAAACATATTTTAATCGATTGGAAACTTTGGTGTTGATTTTATAAATAACTTTTAAATCTTTATCGCCACGAATTTCTCCAAACGTGGCTTTGCCTAAATCAAGACTTTTCACCAATTCGTGAACTATTAAAGTCTTAGCAAAATACTTTGGTTTTGTCTCAATAAAGATGTTGGTAGCTTTAATAAACAGGAGATCAACAATGTTCGATTTTTGAGTGATAACAACAAATGCATCTTGAAGTAAAACATCAAAGTGATTGGATGCACCCCTTCCGTGTGACAGTAGAAGCTGCACCCGCATTGCTTGACATTTCCATAAACATTGAAAAATAATTTAAATATATTCTTTTGATTTTCATTTGAATTATAATTTTGGCCTTTGTACACAACTTGGTAAATTGAAGATACAACTTTATCTACATCTTTACATATTAGATTGTATGCACTGTTTTCCTTGTACCCTATATGAACATCAGATGGTTCTATAGTGACTTGTTTGGCCTTTTCAATACGAGTTTCACGTGGCATACAACTATTATGGAACATCAATTGAACTTCGACGTTATCAAATGAAGGCACTTTTGTAGCGTTTAATATTAAAATTTTGGTGAATTTTTGATAAATAAAAATGATTTTCAGAACGATGTCACTTCCTTTTTCACTGTAAATAGACCAGTCCGGTCCTATAATTTGAAGTTTTTTGTACTCCGCCAAAGCCTCCATCTTTTTGTCTACTGGAAGGTTTGTGAGTATTGACACGTCGCAATTTTTGAGTGTGAATTTTCCTTTTTCAAACAAGAAAATTTTCGATGAGGTAACATTAATTAATTTAACAAAAGATTTTTTGTGTGTTTGAGTGAGTGAGTTACTTTTGTCCATCACAACATTTGCCGAGTTGGAATACGTCAGTGAATTAAAAGTACAATTATTAAGTACAACTCCATCACTGAACTCTATAAAGCCCACTTTAATATTTGAATTGTTTATTGTAAGATTGTCTACTAAATGTACTTTAAGAGTGTAAAAAGAATTATACTGTGATGCGTCGGTAATTACAATAGACTTTGTTTCACACAAATTTACATATCCAACAACTCCAACTATTGTAATAGAAATATTAGAAGAGCATCTACATATCACTTTGTCGACTGCACTTATCGTAAATTTAACATTTCTGCACTTTTGAAATTGCAATCGAGTCGCATAAATAGGAGCGACTGTAACATCAGAAACTTCAAATAGATATAAACAACTCACTTGGCGCGTTGTTAAAACGACGTTGTGAATGAAGTCGTCCAGTAATACTAAAGTGTCTGTATTTGATGCTATTTCACAATCTTTCTGACTAGAATCATATTTTTTAAAAATATCGAAATAACAGTGTTGAAATGAATACTTTGGGGGTGTAACGTCTGAAATATAATTTATGTTTCTTATATAAACACTTCGAATAAATCGTAACCCACTGAGTACTACAATATCTTTAATTACAGTTTCTGTTTCATTATAAACATTCACATTTTGTTCTGTGAGCTTTGTAATTTCATTCTCAAAAATCGCTTGATCTTCCTTTTTTAATACACTTTTCTCAATAAAAACGTTGATTGAAATGTCTTCTAATTTCATTGCTTTTCTCTTAGAGATATAATGCGAAATTTTTGAAAGAAACTCCGGTGTTTCACAACACCAAAATGACACTATTTCGACTTTTGGAAGAAGCAAAATTTTCTCCATCAAATTGTTATTAGATAATGCCCCGTTCACTTGCACTTTTCTAAGACTTGTACACTTACCATAAATTATCTCATCAACAAATTTTGGACCGACATACACATTTTCTATTTTCTGGATAAGACCATCATGTGTGTTCGGAATGGAACATGGAATTTGTGGGACATCGACTTTGATTTTAGCGTGGTTTCGTGGTGTTGAAACAAGGCGGATTTTCTTTACTTTGTCAAAGAGTTTGTGTGTTTCCATGAGGAGACAATCATTACATTGAAGGGTTTCTATTTTTGGAAAAGTGTTAAGAATGAAGTCAAGCACTTTTGTGTAAAAATTGGAATGCTTTTTGGGTGAGTAAAAATAAGATTCTATGGAGATATCAATAAATGGATTAATGTACAAGTTCTGAAAACAATCCAAACACTTTTTGTTGATCAACTGGAAATTTTTAAGAGAATCCATTGTATGTATATACAAAGAAACGTTCATCAAATAGATGGACTCGAGTTGGCTCATTTTGAAGTGTTTTATTTATTTTTAAGTTTTTATATCAATTTCAACGAATTTTATGAATTCTTGTTTGATTCTATTAATAATTATAATAATTTTTACATGTTTTTAGTTAAAATTGGTAAATAACATAAAAATAAAAAAATGTTACTTTAAATTTAATATAAAATATTATATAAAATCAATTATTATTTTTTTAAATACAAATTTATTTTGGTATTATTTTTATGACAGTTTGCCAAATTTTCACAAATCTTAATGTTTGGCTAATTAGAATAATAGTGAAAAAACTATAAATTTTAACTAGCTTGAATTAGATATATTATATCCCTTAATTGTTGAAAAATAAATATTTTAATAAATATTTAATAAAATAATTTAATATTTTATATTATTTTTAATTGTGATTACTTTATGGGTATTAGAAATAATTTGCCTAAAATTATCTTTACCAAATTTGTTGAATGCCGAAACATAAAATGAACAATTTACAACGATCAATAATAAAAAACATAGACTTACTTAATTTGAATAATTGTAATTAAAATTTGTAGAAAACACTTTTTGAATATGCTTATTTAGGTATTTTATGATTTATGTAATAAGTTGTATTGTTTTTGAATTGATCAATATATTTTTGTTTAACTTTGACTTGTCACTTAGCACACAATTACAACATTTTGTTGTTGTCAATCATGAATTTAAGACCGTTATTTTATTTAACGTGGTCAAATTTGACAATAAAGTGTTTTAACCTTTAACATTGTTTCAATAAACCATTTTATGTTACGTTTTTTTAACAACATTTAACTTGATGTTTAACCCTCAAACATAAAAAACTATTGTTTATATCTAATTTACACATTTTTGTGAGCATAAAGAAAACCCTGAAATTGTTGCAAAATGTGAAATTATACTAATGTTTGTGTTAAAATTTAAAGTTGGGTTTTATGTTACAATTCGACAATGTAAAATACATTTTTGTTTTTTGAACACTTTTTTGAAAATGTAGCTGTTAACAGCAAACCTTTTATGCTAACCGTTGTTATAAAATCAAAATTAATAATCAAATGAAGATGTCTTTATCTAATTTTTTCATTGATATTTTAATCTTAAAAAACATCTTTAAAAAGTGTGTTGTTATTAAAAAAATAATACAACAGTTAAATTGTATGTATATAATATCTCATTTACATTATTTATAAACAAATAGTTGTTTAAACATAATTGAGTTCATTGTTGTAATTTCATTTATAAAGTGATCACAATAATTTAAAAATGTTTTTTGTTGTTTCAACAAAATGGTGTTAATTAATCAAATGTAACAATCAATAATCAAAAATATTTTATCATACACAACTAATATTTAACTATAAAATATATTCAACAATTTTATTTAGTTTCAACACTTTATAATATACGTAACTTATTGATTTGAAATTTTTATTGTGTTGACTAATTTGTTGTGTGAATAATTGAAAACGTTGTTATTTATTGGTTAAGTTAACCATTATTCAACACAATTTGATTACAAAAAATATTTCCAATTGTATTCTAAATTGAAACAAATTATATGTGACAATAAAAAGTGTTTTTTGTAAACAGTTTTTCAAATTGTTGATGGTGTTATTAAAAACATGATAAGTAATTGTCACAATTATATTTTGGATTTTAACATTTGTCATGTTACTTTAATTTAAAAGTACAGTTGCTATTTTCGATGATAATTTTACGATTACAATTAAACTTTAATAATCAACAATGATTGTACATTAACAAATCAATTAATCAAAAAAAATTTCATTTAACAATCTTTGTTTTACAATAATCATTTATGAATAATGTTTTTTCTTTGTTTTTATAATTACAATCAAAGCAAAAAGTATGTTTATTTATAAATTAATGTCGTTTTGTCAACTAAGTTTTATTTGTAATTCACTTGTAAGTTTTTTGTTTAAAATGTATTCTATTGTTTTGTTAATTGTGTTGATTGTTTTCTATTTTATAAAAAAAATCTAACAGTGTATTAACTAAAAAAATATGATTGAAATATTTTGTGTTGATTTTTAAAGGAAATAGTGTTAATTTTAAACAATTGTTAAGAAGTATATTTTACGTTTTATGTTGTTGTGTGTAAACTCAATTGAAAATATAATCAATTTTATTTTGATTTGTTAAACACGTTTATAAAAAACAACACAAGTCGAAAAAAGCTTTTGATTACCTTTCGTTTTTATCAATAAAAATAAATTATGTATAGTTTGTTTAATAGCTAAATAACTATTAAATTATAGCATTTTCCAATTATTTTATTAATTTTTATTGTTGTTTTTTGATTCAGATATATTTAAAATTATAATTAAATTTTTGAGAAAGTGTAAAGTTCAACGAACTTTGCACTTGCTCAAATATTTGGCAAAACGCTATTATATTCAAATAACGATAACTATTAAAAATATTAACTTTTAATTTATAAACACTGTCTATATTTTATCAATATGGTTATAACTCTTTTTATAGTTGTATAATCATATATAATCATAATTTAACATTATATACAATGTAAAATATATTATATAATTATGACACTATAACATATATAATGTTTTAACGTCATTGTAACAATTATTATTAATTTCAAAAGAATTTAAATCAACAATCAAGTTAAAAATAATAAATATATAGTATAGACACTTGTTAAAATAAAGTTAAATATTTTTATTGTATAAATGTATTTGTGTTTTAGTTTTATTCATAAGAATATCTGGTTAAATACTCTAAACACTAAAGTGTATTAGCTTCTCGTTTTTATTATTTCAATAATAAAATAATTATTTAACTTGGATACAATTGATTCAATTTAAACAGAAGTGGGAAAAATCAACGTACGATTAAAATATTGCCAATAATACCAACAACAAAGCCAATTGGAAGTTTAATGCAGCTTTATCATGTGTGTTTTGTGAATTGGTAGAAGTGAACGAGCTATCTGATCCTTCAGATAGATAGCAAACACCATTTTCATCTGGGGTATATGAATAATCATCACCTTCAAATTCAAAGAAACAAACCATACATTTTCCATCATCGTTTCTAACTTCACAATTGTCGCCAGCAAAAATGCAAGTTTTTCCATCTTCACTTGGCACCATTGGATACCTGTTGCTATTACACAATTGACACTTTTCATCTATTGTCTCTTGTATGCAATTTTCAATCATGGGACCAGGAACACACTTATCTTTTCCTCCAAGACATCCATATTGACAAGAAGCTTCACATTTATTGCACACATAATTTGCATCGAGATAATAACCATCATAACACCTAACACACACGTCACGAGTATCATCACGGTAATCACAGAAAT